AATTGATCTACTCCTCCAACCAAACCCTAGATCTGGAATCTGGGCTCTGATACCACTTGTTGTGCGCAGCGGAAATTTCGGCAGAGTTTCTGGTGCACAATAAGAGAGAAAGATCGATAAGAATTCTTGTTTCTCAAAGGGAACAAGAATCTGAAAGCCTAATATCCCATCAAAGTGGGATATTTGCTCTTCCTCTCGTCAGCTCTAGGACTGCGCGTCGAGGGATCCTAAAAACTATTACAATGGCCACAAACTCAAACAACCAATTTTACGTGGTTCGGCAAACTGCCTACGTCCACGGGGCAAGGAGGAGGATCTACTATTAGAGAGAAAATACAATAGGTTTACAATCTCACAAAATAAACCCTCAAACTAACTCTCTAATCTCTCACAAAAGAAAACACAAGAGACTGCACAAAACTCTCTTCACAAATCCCTAAGATTTTTCTTTCTTTGCTGCAGCCGCCGCTTTGTTTTTTCTTTGTACCCGCCTTTGCACGCCCTTTGCTGCTTGCGATTTTTCTCCAGCCGCCAGCAAAAGACGTCCCCTCTGCTTCCGCAAAACCTAAGGAGAAAATACAATTCCTATTTATAGCATGCAACTCAATTTCGGGTGGGCCACGCGGAGCTGAACCAATTCATGAGCGGAAAGGGATTACATCAAATCGCGTGTCTTGATAGGTTTGCCAGCTCGTGGCCCCCACAATCCACTCACAACTGTGAAACAATTCACGACAACAGACTCAATCCATAACAAGTCGAGAACCCAAATGAGAATGCAAACACTCTCCAAATGTCAGTATCAACTCACCAAATCGATCTCACCCCCATCAAAATCCAAAACTCGGCTGCATCATAAAGATTGCCTACGTATCCTCTTGCCCAAGGAATCAAGCCGAACGTAGTTCACCCAAATGGCCGCTAACGACCTCAATCCAATAGAAGAGTACGCAACCCTTCTCCAATATCACGATCAATTCTGTGACTGATAGCACCTCCCATGGCCTCAAACACCTCCACCTGAGGTGAACCAATGGTCATATCCAAACTGTATCTATCAGTTGCACTCGAATCAAAACCCAACTCATCATCTGCACCCAAATGATCTCCAAGCCGTGTCACCTCAGCTAGAATCCCAAATAATGCAGTATGATCTGGAGTAATCTTTACCCAATGTGGAGTAGCATCACTCTCCACCCGCTGCGATACCTCTAAGGTCTGTCCAAAACTCTCCACCTGCTGAGAGTCAATTGGCTTCCTCATCGAAGCCTCAACCAAAGTGACACTACCAGACCTATCTTCCAATGGAGTTTTACCTCCAATCACAGCAGTTGACAACTCTTTAATAGGATGACCCAAATATGTCGAAGCCTCTGTCCAGAAACTCTTCTGCAAACCATTGCTCGACCCCAAACACCGATCCTCCTCCAGAAAGGCACGGTTCTCCAAATTTGTCACCCTATCTAGCTGTTCCAAGATTTCCTTTCCAACGAAGTGTCTCGAAATACCGTGAGCTCGGCTCTAATACAGAAATAGGTCCATCTTGTACCTCCCACCAGAATGGAGTACCTTCACCTTTCTGTCTGTCACACACTTCTTCAATCTGTTGGAAACTACTAGGACTTTCTCCAAAGGGGATTTGGTTGCAACCCAAACACGCCTAGAACAGCCACCAACAAAGGAAACCAAACGCCTATTACCTCCCAATGATGCCCCCTTGGAAGGCCCCCAAACATCCACGTGAACTCCTCCAGAACGACCCTTAGCACGGTGAATAGAGGTGCCACACTTCACCTCGGTCTTCTTGCTCACATCAACATGTTCACTGGACTTCAAACTGCAGGTCTTTGCACCCTCTTTCAATCTATGCGAGGAATCAATACTGGAATGGCCAAGCCCCAAATGCCGCAGTCTAGTCGAATCAACAGAAGTCGTCAGCTCTCCACCTGCCACTATACCTCCAGTCAAGTAATACAGGTTATTTCTCCTGACGCCCTTCATCAAAATACGAGAGTCTCTCGCAATCTCGAGAACCATGTCCTCAACACGAACCTTCAGACCCTCTCCAACCAAAGCTCCAATCGAGATCAAGTTCTTCCTCAAAGAAGGAACATATCTCACATCGTTTAACTCTCTAACAGTCCCGTCAAACATCTTTATGCGAATTCTTCCTATCCCAAGGATCTGGCATGCACGGTTATCAGCCATGTACACCACACCACTATCCACCAGCTTCTCAAAACTGGAGAACCATTCCCTTCTAGGGCACACATGATAGGTCGCACCACTATCCAACATCCATTCAGATTCCTCCGAATAGCTATCTGTAGGACTGATAGAAAGCGAATAAATAGAAGAGTCAGAATTATTACCATCCGATACGATGTTTGCTTCTGATGATGGTTGCTTCCCTTTTCCCTTCTGCTTATTCTTCATCCATTCGTCGAGCTTTGGGCAGTCTTTCTTCCAATGACCAGTCTCCTTGCACCAAGCACACTGATCTTTTCCTACTCTAGACTGTGACTTCCAATTCTTTCGGTTTGGACCCTTCCCTCTTGCGACCAACGCCTCCGCTACCGGCTCAACCGAAGCCTCCTTATCCTTCTTTCGAAGCTGATAATTCACAAGTGCAGCGGTGACCTCACTATACGAAAGTGATGCCTTCCCATTAATCAGAGTAAGAACGAAGGTCTCATATTCCTCGTCGGGCAAGGAACTCAACAACAGCAACGCCTTGTCCTCATCTTCAATCTTGACATCCACATTCGCCAAATCCGCAAGAAGCTTTGTGTAGTGGTTCATGTGATCTCTAATGGAGGTTCCCTTCTTCAACTGGAAACGATAAAGTCTCCTCTTCAAATGCAAGCGATTTTCCACACTCTTGGTCAAATACTTGCTTTCGAGAATCTCCCAAATCTTCTTCGCAGAAGTCTCATTCATCACATCATATTTTAGATCTTGAGTCAAACAAGATCTAATCACACCACACGCCGTTCGATTCATCTTCTTCCAAACCTTTTCTTCAACGTCATCTGGCTTGCCATCTAACTCCAAGGTATCCTCCAAATTCTGCGCGTTCAGCGCATCCAAAACCTCGCATCTCCATAATCCAAAGTTGTTTGTGCCATTAAATTTCTCCACATCTATCTTCATAGAGTGGATATTCAAACTCTGAATAGTCTTCACGCCAGAAGAACCACCCTCGACTCCCGAAGCACCTTCTTTCCCCGACATCTTACGCATCAACGAACAAAGAATAGATCCAAAGCTGAAAGATAGAGTCTTTACCGAAAGATCCCACCTTTATCACCAACGAAGTCCTAAACGGGCCTCCAAATTGATCTACTCCTCCAAACCCTAGATCTGGAATCTGGGCTCTGATACCACTTGTTGTGCGCAGCGGAAATTTCGGCAGAGTTTCTGGTGCACAATAAGAGAGAAAGATCGATATAAGAATTCCCGTCTCACCAAGGAGACAAGAATCTGAAGCGGATATCTCAACCAAGTGAGATATCGGCTCTTCCTCTCATCAGTTCTAGGACTGACCTGTCGAGGGATCCTAAAACTATTACAATGGCCACAAACTCAAACAACCAATTTTTACGTGGTTCGGCAAACTGCCTACGTCCACGGGGCAAGAAGGGGGAGATCTACTATTAGAGGGAAAGAATACAACTAGGGTTTACAACTCTCACAATTTAAACCCTCAATTAACTCTCAAATCTCTAACAAAAGGGATACCCAAAAGAAAACCTCTCAAAAGCCGTACAAAAGACTTTTTCTCTTAAAGCCTCCTCTGCCTCCGCACTGTATTGCTCCAAAAGAGAACTCAGCCGCTGCTTTTCCCCAAGCCCCTGCTTCCGTACCTTGCACGCGCCTCCAAGCCTTCGGTTTGCACGCCGCTTTTTCCCTGGCCTTCGCACACGTCCTTGCTGCTCCCTGCAATTTTCTTTTGCTGCCGCCAAAAGAACCCTTCCACTTGCACGAAAACCTAGGGGGAAACTAGGGGACTATTTATAGGGAGTTATGTACCGGGTGGGCCTTGAGTTTGTCCGCTGAACAAAACCAAAAAGCTATCCCCTTTTATCTCTTCACACGGAAGAGAATGCTGGCCTATCACTACACGTGAAGGTGGACCCCACACGGTTTCACACCAATGTTGCGCGTAGCTACCCTTTTGTTTACCTAATGTTGTATATAAATACCCTCAGGTTATAAATAGCCTCACCTAAGTATCCTAAAATTTTTGAAGGTTTCACTGTAGTACCCCTGTTATGCGATATTTTTGGATACGTAAGGAAAAGTTAATGTCGTCTGGGTTTTTTTTAATGATGGAGCATCTATCTGCAATACTAAGATAATTTGGGGCTTTTTTTTCTCTCTCTCGGTTTTAAGATGAGTGCCACTCAAGTGCAAGATTAGTGAAACTTTAAAGGCATTTAAGTGCAACTTAGCCACATACATGCATATATATATATACACACTTTTAAGTGCTAACTATGGACAAATTTTCAAAACCAACCTATTTGGACTTTTATTCCCAAAAAAAGACCCTTTTCACATTTATTTAGAGAAACCGACCTGGTTTCAGCCTCAGCGCTGAAACCAGGTCGGTTTTTGAAAAAAACTCTCCGAAACTTCACGGGAGTTGAACTCCCGTGAAGTTTTTTGAACTACGAAACTTCACGGGAGTTCAACTCCCGTGAAGTTTCGAAGAGTTTTTTTTCAAAAACCGACCTGGTTTCAGCGCTGAGGCTGAAACCAGGTCGGTTTTTGCAATTATTTTTGAATGGGGTCGTTTTTTGGGAATAAAAGTCCAAATAGGTTGGTTTAGAAAATTTCCTGCTAACTATATAGGCCGCGTATGTATAATAATATATATATATATATATATAATATATATATATATATATATATATATTATATAATATATAATATATATATACGTATAATGGTTTGATTGTGGTTCGCAGTTAGTCATCCCCGCGCCCGCCCCCGGAAACGAATGACCTCCCCTGAGGACCCCAGAAATGTTACAGCCGCCTCTCACCCTCTCCCTCCCTTCCCCCTCCCCCTCTGGACCCACCGCCTCCTCGCACCGCCGCCGTCTCCCCTGCCCCCGGCTCCTCCCGCCAAAGCAGAGCGGCAACCGCCCCCCCTTCAAACCCGAGCCCGGCGGCGCCTCCCTGCTCAATCCGGACCAAGCCCGCAGGGTGCTCGACGAAATTCCCCAACCGAGCAAGAAAGCCCCTTTCTACGCCCAATCGATCTCCACCGACGCTCGGTCCCACCAGTGGCCCTCGGTCCTCTCCTCCTTCTCCTCCATGCTCTCCGACGACGCTCGCCCCGACAAATTCCTCATCCCCAAGGTCCTCAAGGCCTGCTCCGAGCTCCGCTCCCTCTCCCTCGGCTCCGCCGTCCACGGGTACATGGTGAGGATCCAGCTCCACCCCGATGTCTTCATCGGCAACTCCCTCATCGACATGTATGCCAAGTGCGGTGATATAGGGTCGTCGAGGGTCGTGTTTGACCGCATGGAGGAGAGGGATGTCGTCACTTGGACTGCGCTGCTGAATGCGTATTCGGATGCGGGCTTGCTGGGTGAGGCCGTGGAGGTCTTTCGCTCGATGAAGGAGAGTGGGGTTCGCCCGGACTTGATTTGTTGGAATGCCTTGATATCCGGGTTCGCGAGGAACGGGGAGACTGATGAGGCGATGAGGGTTTTGGATGAGATGAGGGATTGCGGGGTTCGCCCCGGTGTGAATTCTTGGAACGGGGTGATATCGGGGTGCGTTCAAAATGGGTTTTTCGAGGACGCTTTGGACGTGTTCTTCGACATGTGTTTGCGTGAGAGGCCGAATTCTGTGACGGTTGCTAGTGTTCTTCCAGCTTGTTCGGGTTTGGGAGTTTTGAGTCTTGGTAAGGAGTTGCATTCGTATGTGATCAGGAGCGGGCTTAAGATAAATGTTTATGTGGGTGGGTCGTTGATCGATATGTACTTGAAGAGTGGGAAGAGAGAATATGCTGAGAGAGTGTTTTCTAAGCTTGAGGGTAAGAGTTTGACGATTTGGAATGAAATGGTTGCTGCATATGTGAGCGAGGACAAGATAGTTGAGGCACTGGGGCTTGTGGAATCGATGAAGGAAGACGGGTTTACGCCTGATGTCATAACTTATAACACCGTGCTTGCTGGTTATGCAAGAAACGGACGGAAAGATGAGGCATTTAAGCTGCTATCTGAGATGAGTCAAGTTGGCCCGAAGCCAAATGTTATCTCTATGAATGCACTTATCTCTGGTTTTCATCGCTTTGGTCTTAATGATGATGCATTGGAGTTGTTTCGAGATCTGCAGTCATCAAGGAATGTTTCGATTAAACCAAATGCTGTGTCTATTACGTCTGTCCTTTCTGTGTGCACCGATCTCAAGTTACTTGATTCGGGGAAGGAAATTCATGGCTATGTACTGAGAAATGATTTTGAGTCTAATGTCTTTGTTTCGAGTGCATTAGTTGACATGTATGCAAAGTGCGAGGATATGGTCTCTGCTACTAAAACCTTTGGGGCAATCAGAGAGAAAAATGCCGTGTCTTGGAACGTTCTAATGGCAGGGCACAACCATAATGGGGATCCAGGAGCTGCTCTAAGATTATTTTCTGAAATGCTAGAACAGAATTCTGCTGTCCCTAATTCAGTTACTCTCTTGATCGTTCTCTTGGCTTGCAGTAGTACTGCTGCCTTCAGATTAGGGAGAGAATTGCATGGCTACATCGTGAAACGAAGACCTGATGAGTATCCTTTAACTATTGCAGGTAGCTTGATAGGTATGTACACAAAATGTGGTAGTATAGTAGAAGCGAGATTAGTATTTGATTGCACTGATCAAAAGGACATAGCAATTTGGAATGCAATGATATCTGGTTATGCTTTCCACGGAATGGCTAAGGATTCAATTAACCTATTTAAAGAACTGGAGGAATCCGCAGTTGACCCTGATCATATTACTTTCACAGCTATTCTTTCAGCTTGTAATCAAGAAGGTCTTGTGGAGCAAGGATGGAAGTATTTCAATATGATGGAGGAGGTCTATGGTGTCACCCCTACTTTGGAACACTTCACGTGTATGGTTAATATTTTGAGCACTGCTGGTTTGCTAGAAGAGTCGATGGAGTTCATTGGAAGAATGCCTTTCGAACCTGATGCTTGTGTTTGGGCTACAGTTCTCAAGGCTTGCAGACTACATTCAAATTACAAGATCGGGGAGAAGGCTGCTAGAGCTCTCTTTGAATTGGAGCCAAGTAATGCTTCAAACTACATTGTTCTCTCTAATATATTTGCAACGGCAGGCATGTGGGATTCTTCTATTAGCGTGAGGAATGACATGAAAGCTCGTGGATTAAAGGTGGCTAAGACATGTAGTTGGATATACACGGATAACAAAATTCACTCTTTTAAAGCAGGAGATAGATCACACTCAGAGATGGAGAGGATTTTAAACGCATGGGATAAGTTAGCTAACACAATGGTGAAGAGAGGATATGTACCTCAAAATATTATCTTCTGCCAAGAAGGAGAAGTTGATCCCTTCTCCTGTTATCATACTGAAAAGATTGCAGTGTGTTTTGGTATCATCTCTTCACGAGTGCAAACAACAATTCGTGTCTCGAAGAATGTAAGGATGTGCATGGATTGCCATTCTTCAATGAAGTTCATCTCAAATATTGTTGAAAGAGAAATCATTGTAGCTGATGGATGTTTTTACCACCATTTCAAGGAGGGGAGGTGTAGTTGTAGAGATAAATGGTGAAGTTTGAAGCCAGGAGGATACATGGTTTATTTACAGGCCTTGTGATCATTTTTTCCATTAAGTACTGCACTGCACTTCTAAGGTATTTGATTTGAACCCCATCAGCCTCACAAACTGCATACTGCGAAGCAAGTTTTGGTAATTAAATGTTGAACTCCTTATTCAAACAGGTTGCTTTGACATATGTGGGGGGTGTCCATAGAAGACGGTCTACACAGTACAGACAGCATGTGAAAAATGCTTGAATTAGAAGAAAGTTGCATAAATTATTTGTTCTGTATCATTAAGATAATTGAGCTCTCCTGTATACAATAAAAAGAACCGTGACAGGTAGTTGTAACTTAAACTATGAGGATTATACAAATGGAAAGATCAAAATATTGAAGTTTTGGCCAAAGGCACGTAATGCATCTTGCATTCTTATATTTTCTCAGCTAACTCAATCTTTGCTGTGTGTGCTAGCATTCATCTCTCCTGCATTCCTTATTTCTTGACTAATTTCTGAAGCGGCTAAGTTGACTTTAAGGTTGATCTGTGATTGTTTATTTTATAATTTTATGGAAATTTTACCTACTTAATTTACCCATCCATATTTGTCATTCGCTACTCACTCGATAAATGTAAAGTTTATATTCCTTGTGTGTTCTTGTTCATCTTCTGAGTATCACATCTTTGAAATTGACATTGCTAGGAGAATTAGGCATCTGACGCGACTATTATCTTTGTCCTCAATCTCCTCCTGTGGTATTATTCCTGTTGAAAGTTTGCAAAAACTGTGTTTTAATTCACTTCTCTGCTTATTCTTTAACTCCGTAATGAGAAACCTTTGGTTCGTGGTCATTGATATCTTAAGCTGAACATTTCGTTGCTATTCAAGATTTATCTGCTGGTAAGGTATTGTCTTTAGCGATAAAAATGTAAATTTGTGGAAGTTATGTTCTCTTAAACTATATAATTTGCCTTGCATTTTCATTTCCATGCCTCTTTTTATCAGCGCAGCTGTGTGACATTGTGTAGTGTATTTGGTCATGTGCTTCATCTGTGAGAGTATAAATTCTGTGCTACTGCTTTATCACCTTTACTTCTTCTAGCTAAGTATTTGATTCAGGTTGCAAATGTGACCAGCAATAACGTCCATCTGTGCAAAGTCAAGCATGCAAAACTCTCTCTGTGCTAGGTGCAAGTAATTCGTACATGTAGGATCTAGTTGCCTTGTTATTTTGGTTAGTCAAACTTGAAAACCTTCTTTTTGTTGCAATTTGTTAGTTTCTGCGACATTCTTTGAGTTGCAGAAAACCGAGGATTGTAAAAAGCCTTTATCCTAACAGCAACAAAGCCTTTATCCCAAATTTTCGGGCTAGTTTATAATAGACTCATTGACCTATCACACAATTCATCTTGGTGCTAGCATGGTCTGATTAGTTAAATGATTTATTTCTGTCTGCTTCTGAATTATATGTGTTGAAGATATTCTATCAAAAGGCTGGCATCGGGGACGAAATTTGATTGTCTTCAGTACCAACTTGAGAGCAGGTTAGAAGTATATGGTCATAATTTGTTGGCAGTCAATTGAAGCTACTTCTGTCTTCAGTGAATACTTTGTTGAGCGGTCGTTTGGGATGATAAAGTCATATTAGAGATTAGAGTCATAACATATTTGGACTTGTGCTCACTGAGAAGCGAGGAAAGTAATGGATATAACCAACCACCTACCATCTTGATGTTGGTCCTTCTGCACTAAATTACCGACCAACTCCTTATTTTGTGCAGTACTTAAAATACACGTGGTATGAAAAATGATAGAAGTTCATATAAGCAAGAATCTAAAGGAAGGACAAAATCATTATCTCCATCATCACTGTAGGTGCCTAAATGCACCTCTATTTTCTACGGTCATTATGTTATGAGGCTACTTGTTCTTTTACCTCTCATAAGTCGTAACTAAAAGGAGTTCGCTATTTTCTTTCGTGAATATATCAGGTGAAGGGCGGCGTCAAACAGGAATTATATCACCTTCAGAAGGCATATCAAAGTTGTGAAATTGCTGAAACAGTTTTGATCCTAGCAAATTGATAGTGAGCATGGAGAATCTGGTTCAAAGCTAGTTGATTCTTATAAAACAGTTTAATGAAATCTAACCGAGCTGAAGAATTTGCAGGTAATTAAACTCGTGTTAGCTTGTTTATCTGTTGATCAAACTTGCAATATTTGTTTCCGATACAGAATTGTTGAGTTGATGGAAATATCGTCTCGAGAACAAGACCCACCCAAGGAGCAGCCCCTTGTCTGGATTTGAAGAACTGTGGACAAGGTGATGCATTAAAACAAGATAAATCTTTGGTAGAATGATCTCTTTTTTCCCCCTTTCTATCTACCAATATTCATTAGTCTGAAGTAAAAGGCTTTAACTTAATGAGTATCATTATATTTGATGTAATGTTGCCCAATTAGGAGGCATTCAAGCATGAAGTTATTTACATTCTGTAGCGAAGACCTAATGATAACCTTCTTCCCAAGAGATGAAAGTAGTTGACTCACTGTAGGAAACTTTTCCCAGATCTAATTGCTGGCTTCTTCAAACTTCCACCTATGATGATGCTATTCTAATTCAAATTATTTAACCCAAATGTTAAAGCTTTTATGACATTTGGAGTCTTAAGCAATACTTGGGATGTAGGTCTCACAAATCATACTTAAATTTGGTTTAGGAAGCTTTGAGCTATAAAAGAATTATTCCTCATTCTATTCCTAGAAATTATATTGGAAACACATGAGTATGTTTGGTACCAAGCACAAATTTTATGCTTGGTAGTGAGGTGGCACAATCCTCTCCACTCATTCAAACGAGGGACCACATTCACATGGGTTGAGGAGTGCATGAGGATATGCAATCATTTGAATGAGTCGAGGGGATTATGCCACCTCACTACCAAGCAAAACATACGACCTCCATAATGTCAGTAAGTTCAGTTTGTTCCATGTCTTTTATCTGTAAACCCTGCAGTAATACCATCTTCGACTTCCCTATTCAAGTAATTCCAAAATGTAACCGTCCATTTTCCTTAGACAGGAGATTATACTCACTGTCCTATAAGCACAAGAGAATCGATAGTTATTCTCTATAGAAAACACAGAAGTACACATGCAACAGGACTTATGTACTTATTTATTTAATTCTAAGCTTTAACTTATGGTTTAAACTTGGAAACTTCCTCTTCCTGTGCGTTTGACATATCATATCTTAGTTTGTCATAGCCTATGCTGGTAAGGCAGTGAAAGTATAGTCTTTCTTTTTCTCGATATATTGAATATTATTCAACTGCATGCATCACATTAGCTCTAATTAATGCCTTGTCACATCACGTCCCAGTCTCTTCTTCTCTCCTATAATAAGAGTCCCTCTTTTCATCCCTCGGTACTTCAACAAACTGCAAGCTATAGAAAGAGCAGAAGGATGGGAAAGCCTCATGAATAGCATTAACGTGCAGAGTCTAAAAACATGATATGACCTGGTTTTTGTGTCTCCTTCTCCCACATGAATGTTCTCTATTCAAAATCTTCATCGCAAATTTTCATTTGTCATAGTTCAAATGATTACTCTACTTGTAAACATTGTTTATGAGATTTTTCCGGACATTTCATTGGTGTGGAGGTTTAGTATAATTTTGTGGGTTCAGAGGGGTTTTGTGCAAAACTCCAAAGAGTTCAGGGGGGTTTTTGTGAAATTTACCCAACATTCTCATCTTTCCTTTTGAAATGCAGCTTTAGATCATGAAAGATATCTAATGTTGCAGTATTCCATATGTAACTAATTTCACTATAATTTAATGCAGGTACCACCTGAAGACAGCAATACAGCTAGCCGAGCACAGAAATAAATGATGCCTTTCTGTTAAATGCAAAATTTTGAGCTAATGGATACAAAGTACAGTCTTTTCTATTTCCACATTGTGGTCATAAGAGGACATTGATGTACAAGTTCTCCTGTTTTGTTAATTAGCACTGGAAAGTTAAATTTTACCTCTGATGTTTCCTATATTGCACGTGATAGTGTTAAGTACTTTTCGGTACCAGTATATAAATAGAAGCAACATAAATCTTTCATAATTGTGAGTTGGTTGCATATAAATAGGTGAAAGATGTAATGAAAAAGGATGAGGAGCTCCCTATCTGCAACGAAGAAGATCTGATAATAGATCAGCTTGTTGAGCTGAGTAGCAAAGGATGTGGATGCCTTCTGGTTATCAACAGTGACAACCGTTTGATTGGGACTTCCACAGATGGAGACCTGCGAAGGACTCTAAAATCTCATGTTGAAGACATCTTTAAGCTTACAGTTGGCGAGGTCTGCAACAGGTAGGACACTTTTGAATATTCTAGTAAAAATGAGGAAAATGAGGTGTGCATGTTTGATTGTTTACTCACAATATCAATACTTGTTGCGATATATCTCGAATCTCATACTAAATCTGTTTGATAGGCTTCTTTTGAACTATTCTAATAAAAATGATACTGGTGTATGTTTGATAGTTATTCATAACTGCCGTACTTAATACTTGTTGAGGTACCACAGGTACCATGCCAGTCTTTTTATACTTCTCACGTGGCCTGCTGCCTTCGAATACACGATGAATCTCTTTCGACTACACACACCTGGAGATGTTGTAACAACTTCTGATGCATACCAAAAGATTATTTAAAATAGCTTAGAAATATATTTTAGGGCTAATTTTGGATTGACCCCTTGCAGTAGTATTGCTGTTTCGAATTTACTACCTATATAGTTTTATTGTATAATATAGACCCTCTGAGTTGAATTTATTGACTATCTTACTCTCAAAGAAATAGAGAAAATTGGTTTTTTTTTTTTACAAATAGACCCCTAACTAAGGTAAAAGACTCATAAGATATCTTACTCGGGATTCTATAAGAAACAATAAAACTATAGTGGTAGTATGTTCAAAACAACAATACTACTGGGGGCGATTAGCCTTTAGTTTATCTACACAATGAAACAAAATGATCTAAACATCACAAACATGAGACCTCGATCACGTAGGTATGCATGATGCAGCTAAATTTCTTTTGGGGGTTATTACTTATTTTTTTTCTTCAGGAGTTCAAAGAACTAATAAGCGTGCATGAAATGGCGGTGGAAGCAATGCAGAAGATGGAAATGCCTCCCTCTCCATGGTCTAGTCTCAGCAGGGTTGTAAAAAAATTTAGCTTTATTTCCTTGTTTGATTTAGCTTTATCTTGTTATCCTCAGTTTCGATGATTTAGGTTTTCAGTTCTTCGGGTTAATTTCTAGGCGTGCGTGGGTTGAAGGGTTGATGTACGTTTGAACCAGTAGCGGCATCCCAACTCTTCAAGTTTGTTAATGAAGATGATCGAAGTTAATAATGAGAAGATGGAAATTATATTTAATATCTTTTCTCCTTGTCATAGTTTTCCATTCTATATTCCTAATTTTGGTGTGTGTGTGTTTTTTTTTTCCCCCTCGACATGCGGCTAAACTGTTGGTGTACAAAGGCCGAGAAAGTGCAAATCCAGCTCTAGAAGCGTTTCTGGGTATTTTGTATCTAACCCAGGATCAAAGTTCAAAGAGAACGCGGGTCCTGCTAGTATTCACTATAACTCATGTTCCGCATACCCAGAAAGTATTTCGAATTTTCATCAATGAAAATTTGGCGTAGACGTTGAAACGAATCGGGCATAACGTCATAGAAAACAGAGGAAAACCTGATAACAATATATTCCGAAACTCCGGTACATTTACTATCCGTTGAGAAGCCCCGAAAAACCATAAAAAATGTTATTGCGTTAGAGGCGATTTGGACCCTCGCATGTGTCTACAATGATGTTTATATATGTGCAGGTTGAATATTTATGACTATTATTAAAATAAAAAGAATAAATTTCGTACATAGATACCATCTCTGTTGCCGCCAGACCAGTTCTACTACCATCGAGCCAGGTACTCCCAACCCAACGCCGGAAAAAATGCGGGCACCAGAAGCGGCAACAAAAATTTGGGAGCACGCCCCTAATTTAAAACTCGTACAGAGAACCCACATTTCCACCTAAAAGTTCTTCTGAATCTCATCTTCAAGGAGACCAACAAGCTGTTTGTTACAGTTGGGATCTCCACTGCTCAGCAGCCTATGCAAGGTCCTAAGCTCTTCTGGGTTGGCCTTTTTAAGCAGTCCTCTTATAACTACCGAATCTGCTCCAAGCTGGTGATCCACGGGTGAAGCTATTGTGGGCGGTGGTTGTGGTCGAGACCTCCAGTACTCTGTACAGCAATGATGTCGATCCATTGCTTCAATTGCCTGCAAAAGATTGGACATATATGTCATAATTATCTTTAACAAGTTGATAGAAAGAGGAGAAAATATATTTGACACATACGGGAGAATATTGTCATTCTCCCCATCAAAACAAGGTTGGCTGTGGAGTAACTGATGACCATGGTTTCAAACCTCGGACTTGTGCCAAGATAAAAAAAAAATTAGGACGGTCGTTCAAAATTCCTACATAGAAAACTATGGGCGGCAGCAATGTCTTTGAAAATAAGCCAGTTACCAAACAAAGAGAAAAGAGACTTGCCCGCGATCGATTAGTTTTGGCGCCCAAATTTTCGCATTTAAATTCAATAGATTGTCTTTTCTTTGAAAGATCCACATTATTAAAATTGATCTAAATGTCTAAAATACAAAATCAAGTTTTTTTAGGATTCTTTTATTCATGCATCAACGAGACAAATGAACAGCACAAGTAGGAAGTTGCTAGGTTAATGGATCAGAATGTTTGAGATCTATCAAAATTTGTTTTTTTTTTTTTGGTAGAATTTTAAACTATTCTTGTGGTAGAGTTTTAAAGCGTTCAAAACTTCAGATAAAGATTAAATATTCGGATCAAAAAATTTCTACAACCTAAAGTGCATATCTAAGAAAAAGGAAATAAGAAGAACAACAACAGTTTTCACCATCTATTTTTTGTGCAGGTCTACCGTATGGACAAAAAATAAAATAAAATGCATTTTTTAATTTATAGATACTAATTAGCCAGCCCATCTTATTAAGTGGTCAATTGACAAGGCAAAAATATGTGATACCATCATGAGACAAGGTTCCATGTAAACTATTATGTGTAATATTTCTGTTTTATCCTTGTTAACCTTCTTTTTGTAATCCTAGAATCTTGGTTTGGATAGAAATAAATCTGAAGAATCTCCACTCCAATAGACTGAATGCTGAAACAAGTGAGATAAGGTTTATAAACCTATGATAAGACAGCTAACCCAGGCACAGGGGATCTATTGACAATGATATTCACTTTGACTTAAATTCAAACACAGCAATCAAGGCAGAACCGGCAGGGGGGGGGGGGGGGGGGAAAGGAAACGGATTATTATGAACATCTTACCTTGAATGAATTGTTGGTGAAGTTAAACCAAACATTTCAAGACCATCAAGGGACCCTGGAGGCTGTAACGTAGGGACATTAACTTTACCTAACTCGTGATGCCTCCTAATTTCCTTATTCACCGTTTCCCTGACCATATCCCAGCATTTGGTAGCAGATACATGAATGAACACTTCACTCGGGCATTTCTCGACCTTAACCTGCAGCCCAAGATACAGTAGCTACTTGTTAGGAACTGTAATATCACTTATAGTCTCCTAATTTTCATGACTCGTTTTTTAATAAATGCAACAACATTTGTATGCATTCATGCATATGCGTGCGCGTTTTGTCCTCGTCTGTGTTGTACTTATGTTGTAATACAATATTCAAATACAAGGAGCATTTGATTACCATAAATAGAGGTCCGAGCAGTCCAGCATCCAAAATTTCAGATACATAATAACACATCTGTGTTGGATCTAGTACACTGAAGTACCTAACTCGACTCCTATATCCTGCAACAAAAAGGAAAATCACGCATGCGTCAGGTAAGTCATAAATAATAGATCTTGCTCCTTCCAACTGAGAAATATATAATAATAGCAACTAAATTGATTGGTTGAAATGGAAAATAAATTTGAAAAATGACTAGCTCGCTGGAATAAATCAGGAAGTCTCGAGATGGGTAAAAAGGTGATAGAACATTAATCTGGAGAATTGTGAAAATGTCAAAATTGACCTTTAGCTTACCTTTGGGGAAAATAGCCTGACTAGTCGACCACAACTTTGATGATGAGACAACACCATATTCCAAGGGCTCAACAGTACAGTTAATTCTCCTCACCACCTTCGCCACTCGAGGGCCCCTTTGTGTGCGGATATTTCTTTCAATACTTGGTGGATAAGATGGCCTTACTGTAACCAAGGCTTCTCCATCTGTCACATTGCGATTAGAATGAGATGGATTCTTGTTAGAGTCTTCTTCACTGCTAGATTTTTCAACTGCATGTTGCAAATTGTTGTCATTTTCACTAATATCAGCTGCGTTAGTCTCAGGTGGTACAAGAACTCGCTCCAGTTGTGAATTGCAGGTAATTACTTTATCAATGGACTTGAGCCTAGCTAAAGTTTCTGAATTCTCAGCGGTTTCTTCCTTTACTTTATGTGAAGGCAGCGATACTGGTCTCTCATGTTCATCAACATCTATTATTAAGACAGCCTCATGAGTCGCCATATTTTTCTTTCTATCAAGCACATTGTTATCTGTTTGACCTCTGAAGGAAGATTTTTGCAGGATGGATGCCTTGGTTTCCTGTGATGAACAAATGCTTTTAGAACCACCGCCAAGATTACTGTGACATGGTGGTCCCTTATCCTTCTGAAATGTATTTTCAAACAAAGTTAACCTACTCGGAGACTGCTTGGGCTCTGGTGTTACCTCTCGGGATAGCTTGGGTTCTGGTGTTTTCTCGGAGGACAGCTTGGATTCTGGGGTTTTCTCTCGAAATGGCTTGGATTCTGGTGACTTCTCGCAGGATAGCTTGGATTCTGGGGTTTTTTCTTGAGACGTTTTGGATTCTGATGTTTTCTCTCTGACTACAGAACTCAATTTAAGTCCAAGATGTGAAAGGCCCCATCTGTGTACTGCACTCAACTTTCCTCCTAAAGCATCCACTAGTGAGTTCAAGTCACTGATCTCATATCGAAAAAGGAAAATCCGTGTGCTCCACTCACAAGAACACAGCTCTTTCGCATGAATCAAGCATGCAAATTTATCGGGAGAACAAATGCAACCAACCGCAGAAAGGTGCAAATCATAATGACACACAACGCACTCTCTTTCACAGTTAACATCAAAACTGGCATCCATTTTCCTTGATTGTAAAGAACCAAGAATTTCTCTTCTTGCTCGTTCCATTTCAACACGACTCTGATAAAAATAGAAATTAAGAGTGAGAAAAGATATTTATATAAATCTTTGTGCAGGTCAAGATATTTTAAGAGTTTTAGTCAGTTTGTGCAGGGTTAGAGGGTACCAAACACCCAAGGAATCATGGAGTTTATGTTAGCACAATAAGTCCGAAGTTCCATTTTCATGCAACATTAGATGGTTCCATTTCCTATTTTGAACATCTATCAGAAAGCAACAAAGTAATAGAACTGCTTTCCAAAGAGAAATGCATAAACAGCCATTCTTTTCAAAAGTATAAACATTCAGGTGAAGCCTACCTTAAGTGACATGGTTAGGATTTTGCCAGCTCCACATGCCTCTTTCCATCTTAAATTGTCATTAGTATTCTTTCCAAGAAATGAAATATTCCATTGTGCTCTAACTGCTTCTTTTGCAGCTCCCAATAGTAGCTTGTCATGAGAAATAGAAATCTTGCGAACCTGTTCACGGTAAAGCTCTACAGCATTCTGACCGTGAGGCAGCCAATCTAAGGGAGCTACATTCACAGCCTCAGCACAATTGAATCCACAATTGAAACCTGAATGATAAGCTCGGGGAAATGTCAAAACAAACTCCCCTGCACTCTGCACACAGCGATAAACAGGCACACCCTCTCTTTTTAGCAATGATGGTGAAAATTGAGTGACCTGCAAAAAAGACAGAAAAATATTTTTTTAAAATATTAAATTAAACAGGATAAATCGTGATATTGGAAGATAAAAACAGATTCTACATCAAGAAATAGTTGCTTACAAGATTATGAAGCAAATCAGGCTGTTCTGCAAATAGATCTGCTAGATGTTTCTTCATAGAAGCTTCCAACTTTAAAGAATCTTTTCCTGGGACCCCATACCACATTTTTGGTGCTCCCCAGTGTAGGTAATTAAGTGAATAAAGATGATGGTCTTCTACATGCTGTTACAAGCAAGAATAAATAGATCAATACAACAAAGTTTATGCCAAAATTGAAAGGAAAAAAAAAGATGTCACACAGGACAGCTGATCAAGAATCATTACTTTGATATATTACTTAATTGGGGTTTTTGCATATATATTATATACCCCTCAAATCTTCCGTATTTGCAAAATTACCCTACAAATCTTGGTATTGCAAAATTGCCCACCAATTCTCTCAAATAGATTTTTTTCCTACCCCTTTCACTTACTAATTTTAGTTTTAAAACCGGAAATTGTTGCAAACGTATTGGAAATTATTGGGAATTTTGACATTGCATTGTTTAAAAAGCAACATTCTTAAGCCATAGTAGTAGAAAGACCCTATATGCTAGGTTTGAGGGGCAATGTTGCAAATATCAAGATTTGAGGGCAATTTTGCAAATACTGAAGACTTGAAGGGTATATACGCAAAAAACCCTACTTAATTAGGCCAAATGCAAATGTAAATAAAATCTTACCCAACAAAATGATGAGAAGCACATTCCTATATACAACCAAGGCACTAGGACACCAGAAATCTCTCCACTTTCAAATGCAAGAACAGAACCTGGAAGACGAGGGAAGTTGTTCAAGTTCCAACCAGATTTCACATATTGATCCTCTAAATCAGCACCAACAGATGATGCTTTAGGAAAGCCACTTCCGAAATCTCCAGTTTCCAAATCAGCACCATAGAGGACCTAGAGACCAAATAAACAGAACCTGAGAAAATAATCCTTGAATCTCGAGGTTTTATAAGAGCTAATTCACCTTGACACCTAATATACCTCAATTTCTTCAGTTGGATGTTCAACAATCCGCCAATATTCACCTTCAATCTTCTCAGGTAACAGATCGGACTGTTCAGACACTAAATGTGTACCATCTTTTGCCCGAAAGTATTGCTCCTTGAAGTCATTTGCATAGTTCTGGAAAGACTTCAAGGTGAAGTCTGGACCAGTTTCAAATCCGAACCTCTCGGTGTTATTGAGACATCCAGATACATTTGTTTGGATATCGCAGTCTTCAACATTCTTTCGGCATTCTGTCCCAGTCTTCAACATTTTTCTCCTTTTCCTTTTCGTCAAGCTAAGACTTTTACTCATTGTCTTGAAAGAAACACGGTTCTGAAGCTTGTGCACTTTTTGAATGCGAGTGGTAAATTTTGAATTGTCCCACACATCCTCTTCTTTAAGAGGGCACGGTGGGCTCCAAGATGGAGGAGGAACGATACGGCAGATACCATATGGTTCGGCCATCGGGCGAATACTTGCAATGAATTGTAAAGTGTCTTTAAACTCCTGCAGATAATATTTTCAATCAACAAGCCCGAAATTTCTCATGTGCCAAACGATCACCTATAAGAATGAAAATTATACTGTAATAAGGAGAATATGACCAACCTCTTCAGTTGGATAAAAAACAGGTGCTTCATCAAGGACAGGCCTGCAAGCATCTTCTGGATGCCAGCGTGCTGTTACCTATCATAATATTCAACCAGTACTCGCATAAGTACAGTCTGCCTATATTTTTCGAAAGATAAAACGGCAAAAAGAAGAAGCAAATGACAAAAATCATGAAATTCAGAAAGCTGACCTTTTGACAGTTTGCACATTCCAAACAACCACGAATTACCCCTTTTGGTAGATCTTTTATTGCTGGAGTATCCTACCAAATACCAATAGAAAATTGACATAAGCATCAAGCATAATTAAATAGCATCAAGCAAGCAAGAAGAAAAGAAAAGAAAACGTAATGTGAGAAAGGGAAAGACATAAAGTAAAACATGATTAAGGTGGTAAAGTAGCAAAGGCAATAACACAAGATATCAATAAGACAAATTAAGATGAGTACTAACTGGCTCAATCAACTCAATATCTGAGTCTTCATCTTCTGAGCTACTATAAAACGCGCTGTAGTTTACCCATGGTCTATGCCGAAGTGACTTTTTCAACCTTCCCTCATCGCTTGTGCTTTCCTCAGAATCTGCGGAAGCCTGTATAGAATTAGAAATACATTGAGACTCAAAGCCAGGCAATGCCCTTGATGCGTTTTCTTGAACCCCTGATGCATTTTCTTGAACCCCTGATGCATTTCCTTGAACCTTCTCCAAGGTGAATGTTGCAAGTGACTCAAAACCAGGGGGGACTGGCGGGAAGATGTCAGTTTCATCTAGCCGACCACCTATACACTCTGTCCCCATTAAAGCTGAAAAAAGCAAAAGCCTATTGAAGAAATATTCCACAATAACACTATAAAAATATATTGATTCTCCATCTAAACGATGGAAATAAATTGAATATGGAGAAAATAAAAATAAAAAACGCAAAACTCTTACCAAAAATAAGTGGCACCAAGATTTAACAAGTAGCAGAGAAAAAACAAACTAGCTTCGATGGTGATGAAAAGATGAAAGCCTAATCATTTCTCCTTGAGTAATCTATACACGGCAAAAACGTGAATATATACAGCTGTGAGATGTCGATATTTGCACTGAAGAAAAAGATAGAAACAGCAATCAATGTTACAAGAAAATACATGTTTTGCCTTCGAAAGAAAACATTCAGACTGCTAAATCATCACTTTATCTACCGGACAGTACCAAAAAAAATACAATAGAGATGACAGTTCTGAATTTTAAAGACTCCCACAACACGAAAACAAGCTAGCGAAAACACATCCCATCCTGATCATACTAGCAAATAGTTGGGATATCAACTTCTTCAGCTGTTTCTCAACATTAGTGTGGATACCATACTTCTAATAGTCAATCTGAGAGGTGAGATTCATCACACCACGAGCACGAGATTACCCTACTACGACCGAGCCTCATGAATAATTCTTATAACATTGCCCAATTTAATTAAAAGGTGGCGATCAGCAATTTTGGTTTAAAAAATAAATAAATAAAAGAACCTAATCAAATTTAAAGTTGTAAACTTGAGATCTTAATTCGTTTTCGAGTTTCGAACTTCGATTCAATTCTAAAAGCCAAACAAAGAGAAAACCTAAAGCTGATCAAACACACCAGTAAAATCTTCAGCTAGATATGATCATACATACTACAAATGGCAGAAGACAACAACACCTGTAATAACTACATCATCCACAAAAAAATTAATATATTTTTATTACCGCAATCAGATTTAAAATATCCCTTTAACTTCGCCATGAATCCTACCAGAGCTCTACTACAGATGCAATCAAGCAAAAAATCTTGTCAAATCTTTTCATGCCAGGGGTTTCGTTTTTGTGGATTCGGAAAATAAATGACATCAGAGATCAAGTTGAATCACAGATCAAGCAGCAGCAAGCAGCAGATCTCCATAAAATAGGGAAAATAGATCGAATTTTAATTCTGATCAGATCTCTTGACTTACAAATTCTTTGATGAATGAGTTCCTTTAAAAACTTGAGTTTCTGTTGAGATCCCAAGTCCACAGTAATAATAAGAGATGACTGATGAGAGAGGTCAATAACTCCCAAATTTCGTGTAGATCTCGTCAAATCCCTAACCCTAATTTCGGACAGAATCCCCCCAAAAAAAACCGCTTTTCAAGGGAAGGAGACGGTGGTTTCTTCAAACCAACCAGGAAGTGGTTTCTTGAAACCACTCTTGTCAAAGATAAGACCTTTTAATGAGGAAACAGCACCCCCTTTCCCTTGTTACGATAATAATAATAATAATAATAATAATAATTAATAATAACACGATAAAGAGAAGGTGAAATTTGGAAAGCCGCTCTCATGCAAATTACAGAATTAGAGCCTCTTCAACCACAAAACTCAAAATAGTGTAGTTTTTACATCAAGTTGGTGTAGTTTTTACACCAAATCACTATTCCATCTCCAACCCATTACACTAGATTTTACACCAAAAAAATATTCCTTTTAACATTCTTATCTTTTAATGGGATATGATTGGAATATTTAATTTGTTATAACAAACTTTAAGGGCAAACATGAAAAAAACAAAAACTCTATATCTACAGTGTTGCGCCATTTCTGGCGCAACACTGTTGCACGACTTTAAAATGGCGCTAGAAATGGCGCTCGGTTGGAGGAAGAAAACGGGAATTTTTTGCGTCAATTTGGGAAAATAGCGTTCGGTTGGAGTTGCTCTTACAAGGGGGTGATTGGGGATAAAGAGAAAACAACCCTAATCCTGACCTAATAACCCTAACAACTTAGGGCGGTTAAAAGAAAGAGGTTGATCTGGCCTTTAACTACCAACTATAATGCTTTACTTTTGGACGTATACATGTAATTTCCCCTAATCATACTGGTTTTATTTGGAAAACAAAAATAAAAAGATTTCTTGATAAATACAACACTAAGTCAAAAAAAATTTTAAAACAGAGGCAGAGGGAGAACAACGTTGAATATGCAATTGAGAAGCTCTAGTGGAACGATATTAAGCGCAATCTAAAGTGCAACGCTCCTCGAGTTTAGATGATCAGATGATGAAGGACAACATTGAGTATGCACTTGAGAAGCTTAAGTTGTATGAGTAAGAAGTTTTATCCTAAGATAAAGCCCCCACCCTACCCCACCCAAGAAACTATAGCTTATACAAAATGAGAATTGCAGTCGTTGATACCATTCATCTCTTCTCATGCACTGCCTTATTTTGTTGGATTGAGATTCTCTACTAATAAGGAGGTTCCTAATATCTTCTCATGAGCAAAAGTAGGGGGAGGATAAGGATGAGATCTTGACCTTTGATTGATAAATCAAATACTAAGATCTATTTATTAGGAGATATTAGGAACACTATTTATTAGTAGTGGATCCCAATATTATTTTGTTTAGCTTATACAAATTAAATGAGAATTACGTACGGGGGATTTCGCTCGCGCTTGCCGTAGCGAAATCCCCCGTATTTTCCAAAGTGGTATTTTGAAAGTTATGGGGGGTACTCTGATAATCATCCAAAGTTCAGGAGGGTTCTCTGAAATTTAGAATAAATAAAAGTGTAAAGAAATCATAGATCCCACGCATCAAATGTAAAACAAGCCCAAATTCTTGACTAAGTATAAATTTGCAGCATGGGCTTCTACTATAACGTTAGGCTAGTTGAAATCAGAGGCAGGATGGGCTATAATACTTTAAGATCAGGCTTGACGTAATAGGGGCCCATCAACATTTGGGCTTCGCATCGGAGAAGTATTGCCTTTCTCTACTTGTTAAATGCTATAGTAGCTTTATTATTGAATTTAAAATAATAAAAGAAAAAAAGAGGAACTAATTTCAATAATAAGAACTTTAGTGTTAATATCATTATTATATGGCATTAAAAGAGCTGTAATACTAATAATGACAGTGGTGCGTCGTGCACAGCTATAATAAGGCCAACATAGCTCATGCATAGATATTCCATGTTGAACGAGTTTGGTCGAAAGAGTCAACGTTAAATTAAGGGCCAAATTATTATTCATAAGCACGTGCTTGACCTTTGATTACGCTAAGCTCGAACATGGAACTAATGGGAATTTTGGTTTGTAATTTTGATACTTGAGTATTAAGGCCGATACCAAACACCATAAATTAATACATCTTTTTGTCACTGATGAATAAGATTGTTTGATGGAAAATATACTATCAAAAATCTTGTTCAAATGTTTTTTTTTTTCTCTCTCGAATATATATGATACGAATGAGGAGAGGTCCATAATGTTTCTCCCTTGTATACTCTACATAGATAAAGGGGACATCTGGATTGAAATGCTACCTTACTGTGAATAAGACTGATTTAGCGAGAGAGGGACAATTGATTTAAATAGTTTTTTTTTCTTTTATCCAATAAAGTAGCTACATTCTAGACTTTTGTAAGTGAAGCAAAATATAAATGTTAAAAATAATTATAATTAAAGCAAATAAAAATCTAGCTAGGTAGATGATTGATATTTCCTACTGCAAAAGAATCAGCTAATTACAAGCAATTAGACCCTAGATTTCCTACAGAATATGGATGAAAAAATTGATAGATTAATGTACTTAGACGTTCAACTTGAGTAACTTCTTGTTGCTGTGAACATTGAAAACTAAATGGACCTTTAACTGAATTTCTCAAGTGCTTGTATCCCAGTTTTGATTCAGTAGAAACTATCGAGCGTGCATTTCTCATGTATATATATATGCGTGTAGTAAACTTATGTTCCACAAGGTACAACTTAAAAATTTATATATATCCACCTATAATGATCCTTACTTGAACATTCATGTAAATGATTATAACCATTCATTATGACCGATCTCATACGGTTCCACAACGACGTCGCACGCAAAACAAAACAAAACAAAACAAAACCGTAGTTTAAAAACTTGCCGGATATTAGTGACATAGAGTGTTTTGTGTTGTTACTTCAATAGCAATTTTTTTACCAATGTTTTAAAAAACCTCCGCCTAGCCCACCTAGGCGTATGCCTAGGCCTAAGCGGTACATTGGCCGCCTACCTTGCACATAGCATCTAGGTTGCCCATCTAGATTTTAAGAGTGTCTAGGAGAGCATGATCTACCTACATAGGCTGCACCTTTTAGGTATTAATCGTGATTTCCTCCTTTACAGTCTTAATGTCCTCTAACCTCCTCCAAACTCCAACTATGAACACCTCATCTACCTTTCGCGACCTTTAGCAAACCTCCTCCACTACCACTTAAGAAATCTGTCTAGGTGTCAATTCAGCGCCTAAATTTTCTATAACATTGACATTTATTATCGGTAATTATAATTAAAATCTAAAAATATGAAAACACCTAGGCCCCGCCTAGGCTCTAATTAGTGTCGGGTCAAACGCCTAGATCGCCTAGCGCTTTCTGCAACCTTGACTTTTACCATCGTTCAAGGTATCATTTGGGGACAAATCTGTGCAAATTTTACCCAATTTTGACAAAGAGTGATTGAACAGAGATAATTGCAAGCACGAGCTTATTCAAAGACAAAATTGAACTGAGTGGTAGTATTTATTTATGATATTCGCTCCAAGAGCTTGGTAACAATAAGCTAACTGACAAATGTTTTACTGAAACGCTGAGCACTCTCTCTTGGAGATATTTTAAAATTTTGATAAAAATATTTACTTGGAATCTGACAACTATGATCATAAAAATATTTACTTGGAATCTGACAACCATAAAATGTGGCACACGTGATAAATAGCTAGTACATGCTAAATCAACTGCACGACGTACGTACCACAAAAGTAGACATTTCTAAGACTAAACTATACTATAACATCCAATATTAATTAATTACATGACCACCTCAATAATTCTCTGACGACGACAACTACTAGTAGAGTTCATCTTTGCCAACTTTGAGACCTAGGATCTCCTAGCTAAGGTTCCCACACCCCAGAGAATTTCCCCCCAAGGTCCACATCCAAAAGCAATCCAAGCTCGTCACCACCGCAGGAATCCATTTCCATTTGGGGCGTGAAGTCAAGAAAATTGCACTGCAGCAAATTGGCTACATTATCAACGAAGCTTGAGTTGTTGCCATTGCTGTTGTTGTGGTTGTTCTCTTGGTGCGGACCACCGTAAACTGAAGGAGCTAAGCTTAAGGGTCGGTCCCCCATTTGAGGAGATGATGATGAGCTCATCTTCATCTCTTCTTCTTCCTCCCTTTTCCTCTTGCGGAATACTCTACACAGTACCCAGTCCTCCTGCAGTAAGAAAGAATTGAAGCCACGTACAAAAGAAAACGAGTTACAAAGAATTAATAATTAGTGCCAGTTTTTAACACAGCCAAAAAGTATAAGCTTGTTTAATTAGGTAATGTTGAGAACACACGTGGTACGTAAAATTCCAAATATATCTAAAGATGAGAACTTTCTCAACCGATTTTATCCTCTCATATATAGGGGGGCATACCTCACCACCCTCTCCCCCCCTAGGTAGGTGCTTGCAGGCTAGAACGTTGCTCCTCCATGAAACAAAGCGCCAGGAGATCTTAGCACGCATAATGACAACTAGTTTTATTCTAACTTGATAATGTTTAGAAAATTTTCAAATTATCTTGGAAACCCAAGGGCAAAGAGGTAATTTACTCAAGAGATTATAACCTCAGGAGAAAGAATGCGCCGCAACTGGTGATACCTTCGGGGGCGTATGCGGGTTCTCTAGGCGGAACTCATGCATGACCCAACAGGACTTGATCCCGTTTGGGGCTCTCCCTCGATAGAAAACCAGAGTCTTCCTCATCCCTACGATCTCACGGGCCGATGGATCGTAGACCGTTCGATCCCTTCCAGTGGCCTTCCAGTAGCCAGTCTTGGTTGCCCGATTGGTGCGTGAGCCAGTGGCATACTTGCGGTCTCGAAAGCTGAAGAAGTACCATTCGTTTGCATTTAGCCTGGCCACCTCTGTCGTCACACGCGAAGGAAAATTCAAGAACAGCTCTTAAATTAAAGGCTACTCACAGAATTAATGGCATAAAGAAAATAAGGCTCATACTCATGCATTGTATGGTTCTTTACAAATCAACTTGAAGATTCCAAATTAATCAAAACAAAAAAGAAAAAATTGCTGGCACATTCATGCATGTAGCCGATATTCTCAAGCCTCAATTTGAAAATTCTTTTGTAAGGAATGACTCATTTGAAGCTAGCCAAACCACCAAACTTTCTATTCTAAACAAAACATAACCACCCGACCCCTTTTTGCCCATTGCTCCAGAAGATAAAGAGTCCTTGAACTATATATATATATATATATAAAAGCTTTGAGAATTCGAATGGAACCAATAAAGCCATACTGAGGTATAGAATTAGAAAGTATGAAAGGCTACTCACCGGGAAGTTCCCATGGCTCGCGAGTATGCAAGTCCACTTCCACCATTGTTCCCTGCATGACTCTCTCATTGCTCACCTTCTTGTAGAGGTAGTGGCACACCAGCTCCTCATCGCTCGGGTAGAACCTAAACCCTGGGGGCAAAGTAGACTCTATATCCCTCAGTCCCATATTTCCGCGAGTGAAAGAGAGAGTAGCAGAAGATGTGTTTAGGGTTGGTTGCGTTCAGGAAGAGACTTAAATTCTTCTGATCAGTTGGAGCTTGATGCTTATATACAGAAGAAAGGCTATGGATGTTGGTCTAGTTTGGCCATGAAAGGTGTCCCTACTGTTGGGAAGTTTTACCTTTTTTTATATCTGTTTCCTTTGGGAGTCGCAATATATCTCCCGGAAGAAACTAGGACTAGAGAAGAGCCATAGTCTCAAGAAATCTCCAAATGGCAAGTAAAATAAAAAATTGTCACTCTATGTCCTTGCCATGTAAAAAAGGAAATTAAGAAAATTTACGTTAAACTTTCTAGACATATAAGGTTGTTATACTGGGAGAGCAGTCAACCAGTGAGGATCAGAACAAGCTGACATCATGATATATTTAGGCAAAATAATTGGCTGAAATCTCTGGATAATATCATCTCTGTGCATATGACAGTATGACACAAACGATGCTCGTGGGTCCGATCTTCATCTGTCTAAATGTTGGCAGTTTTTCTGGAAAAAATGCCATGCTGAACAGTGTAATTATTGAACCCATACATATGTGGTATTTTCCTAACAAACGCGTGCTATCAATGGAGAGTTCCTGCAAAAGATTATTTCTTCATAGAACTAATTAGTATTTTCCTGGGCTTTTTTGTAGCATACATGATCAGATGTTGCCATCCTCTACGTTCAAGATGGAAAGTTAACTCACAATTTTGTACTGTTTTAAAGGAAAGATTACAGACCCTAATAGCAAAAGAATTAATTTAAAGTTAACTCACAATTAATGTTGTGCAAAACTTGCTTTCTTCCATTCTAAGTTAAAAGGAGAATTAACACAGAGGGAGATAATCAATTATGTTGTCTTCATGTGAGTTAATAGTATCGATAGAGAGTATGTAGATAATGATCTAAATGTTACCATTATGATGGAGACCAGTGGATTATAAATAATGGAGGTTAGGGACTCGTATGAAAGATTCCTTTGAGATGACCATAATATATAGCCCTAACTGTCATGAACATGGTGCCAACAGGGTGGGGACTGTTAACTTTGGATTTTCTCAACCGAAAAGAATGAAAAGATAAGAAAGAGCAAGGGTGGAGCCAGAGATATTACTCAGATAGGGCACCATAATAATTTAAAAGTACAGACAATTTTAAGTCTCAGGAATTATGCGAAAGGTTTTGAATTAAAGTTGCAGATTGAGAGAAGTAATGGCGATTTCTGAAGGAGAATGCCATTTGGCATTTCAGTGAATAGAAATGAGTAGTAGTCGTAGAAGATTAATTGCAGGTGAAATAAAGAAAAATATACATACTTACTGATTAAGTTTGCTATGATTTAGTAAGGATATTCGAAGGTGTAATAAAGAAAAATATACAGACTAACTGATTAAGTTTTCTGAGGGTTCCGGCTCTGCACGTGCTGAACCTGAAATGGCTCCATTCTGGGAAGAAACCTACAAAAGAACTCAACTTAAAAGATGGTTATAGAACTGAATTAGGCTTAATTATCCACTTAGATAAAACAACTTGAGAATTTAGTCCTCGGATGCAATTTGGACCGGTGCACAAAGGGATATAAATTCAGGAAAACGTATCAATAAAAATTTCATTTGTTCTTCTTGTGTGTGCGGAATAGGTATAGAAGCTGGAGATGTGCATAGCAATGGCCAAATTTGTTAGCAGCACAAAGATGTTTTGATTGTTATCCATTACCGGCATAAACTTAGCTGGACTACTAAGATTAAGGAAGTTTTAGTAATTTAATCATTCTGAAAGACCACAAAGAAAACCTAGGAAGGACAATGATATCATTTGGTATACAACAGGATGCACTGACATCAACCATGAAATATTAACCAAACCACAGAAAACTGAAGAATCATAAGGGTATTACAGCCCTCAAAGACAAGTTACTGTTGAACTATGTAGGCTAAAGAAAAACATGGAGCACGCAAAATTTGCGAAGACTGGCTAGAAAGGGAAATAAGAAGCAATCATTAAGCTCCATGATTGGGAAATTGATATATAGTTTCTCCTTGAGGAGAATTAGTGTGAGCGTTGCACAAAGAGTGACGACTCTATATTCCCTTTTCTCCTTGTGATTGGGGTTTGCTTCTCAACATCAACATAATTTCAAAACTTAGAACATTTAAATTTTTTTTCTCCATTTCATATATGTCACGTGTTGCTAAGTAAGCTCTCAATCTGAACAGATTACTATAATCTATCACACATCTTGATCATAATAGATAGATGCATAATGAATGAAGGAAATATCAGGCTACATATGACAGGGAGCTATGGCATCAATTAGAATTTGATCAATTTTAGACGGTGATATCATAGTAAACTCCTTGGCAATGGGTTATTCTCAATATGTTTCTCCTTATACAGTCATCACTGTCTATCACCCATAATTGCAGCACACAGTTCGTACATGAAGAAACCATTGAGTAGTTTTTAGCGTCCAAATTGGAAAACCAACATCACTATCCTGCACTATGTTATTGTTGGCAGGTTCCTTCTCTGAAATGCATGATTTCTCCAAATTTTTGTTATTTATCTGTCATGAAAATAAAAGAACAAAATTGATTAGGTTTCAGCTCTCCCCCATTAATGAGAATCATAAAAAAGAAGCTTTATAATAATGACAGATGACGACGACGATGGATATTGATGTTCTTGTCCTTTTTTCAAAGTGGCATCAAGAACTTGAGACTGTATTTTCCAAAAATTAAAGTTGGTGGTAGGAACAAAGACTAACTTTCAGTCCCTAAGCTCTAAAGACTAAAGAACAGAAACAACAATACCAACAAAGCATTTATCCAAAACCTGAGATTAGCTTCACATGTCCTTTCTTCCATTCACATTTATTAAATACCATCTCCTAGCTAAATTAACAGCGACCATATCCCTTTTCGTTTAACTTTCACCTATGTTTGTTCAAGACTACCAATAATAATATCGAGCCAGGAAAAAGAATTATGATCCTGCTTGTTAATCAAAAAGTCTCAACTAGAATTGGACAACTGTATACTTAATTCTTGGAAGGTGGGATGAGTCTGAAAAAACTGGGATAATGTGGAAAAATTTTCTAGGATTTCCAATGATGTAGCTCATTTATTTATTTGTTTTATAAATTTTCAAGTTAAGGTAAGACTGATTATTCAATGCACGGCAAGCGTAAGACAAGTAAAATAATCTAGTACAATATCAAACAACATAAGTAAAATAATAATAACTATTAATATCAATCCATCAATCATAATGCATAATTGATCACTTCGTTGGACTTCGATCCTCATTGATTACATTAATTTCTTCTACTAGCATTGATTCATATCATCAAGTAATAAATAAATAAATAAGAAACTTTACAGAGCAATAGCATATATTTTATTTTTTTATGTTTTATGTGGATAATTCTGTTGTTGGCTTAATTAGTCTGATGGTACTTGGTAGGTATTCACCAATCAGACTAAACCATTAGTTTTGTTAACAGTTATATTCCCTTAGTGAGTAATAAAATCCATAAATATTAATATTGTCATACCTGTAGTATTAGTTACTGTTTCATGTATAAAAATGGAATTAGAATTCTTTTGAGTGTTAGACTAATTATCTCCAAATTCCCAAATTAATATTCATACTCAGATGAATAACTTCATCTGCATCGAAAATGAGGTCCCTCTGCATGAGGGAGAGAGCACGTGCGAGAGGCAAATGTCAATTATTGAACTTCTCCAACACCCGAGGATCTAGGCCATCCAATGAAATTTGGATAGTTCAACTGTAACTATATTTAATGGCTTGTGAGATCTCAACCAATCACACAATTAAAAGTCATACCAGTTATCCTGTTCGAAGAGTTCCAGTCATCATGATGTTAATGCCTATGAAATCAAAACAATTAACAGACACAGAAGTAACTCATTGTATTTTCCAAGTCAAGCAGACACTGATAGAATTTGAAAACTCAAGAAAAGAAAACAGGAATCATATGTCCAATAGAAGATGCCAGTGTACTATATTCTATATGCATCACAGAGTTGTCATATTTTATCGGTATAGTAGTGGCTTCTAGTTTCCTTGTTTCTTTATATTTAAACAAACACCGGTATATTTTGTCGTATGTATAAAATATTGTCACATAGTTTTTCATTATGTACATTTTCCTTTTTGATTTTTTAACTTATGCTTGATCTTTCAAAAGAAAACATCAATTTTCTTAGAACTATGAACTCCATTTTTTTTATTTCTGTTAAGAGCAGGGGACAAGATCTAGTTTCCTTTAGACATTTTTATTTTTGCGTAGTAAATTCTAACAGGCTTTCCCATCATAATAACGTGTAGGCATCAAATGATCTGCTCCAGAATGGCTTTGACATAGATAACGCTATACCGAAGGTCACTTGCTAGTAGATACTGCCACAAATATTCTCTTTTGTTTATTATTAAGGTTTCCTATGCGTGCATATGTGCAGAAGCTGACATTTTACTATGACATAAGAGAATATAAATGAGATATTTTAAATTTTTTCCCCCGAAACATAATGGTAAAGAATGAAACTAATCATTCTGAACGATCGCTAGCTTCAACGCAGATAATGGATTTTGTTTGGACTTTCATTTGCTTAGATGCAATTGTATGAATGGCATGATCATGAGTCGCGCCCACATTGGACAGTCCTACAATCATAGTGCATAAAGATCAGTGCCTAACGCGTTCATCACGCTATCTGATAATAAACTAGTCGAATGGTTCTCATAAGTCGTCGTCTTCTTACACGTTCTTTCCCTTTCTCTGACAGTAACAGATTGCGGTGTTGGAGAGCTAACACGTATGGCTTTTGCAAGCTAGTTAGGGGGTTTGTGTTCAGCATAAGACTAATAATTTCAATAGCTTGAGATGGTGGGAAATGGTTGTCTACAAGCATTGCTCAGGCTGATTTGTGACGATTCTTGAAAGGGAAACAGAAAAAGATATTGTTAATATTTACCTGGGCAATTTAAAAATTGCAACCTCGGCTGTGATTAAGAATTTAAGAAAACATCAGAAACTGCCGCGCTAACGGGAAGGATGTAGTTTAACATCTTAAACAATGATACAATGGCAAAAGGATACGGTCACCGGTGACGAGTAGAGTACCTAGCACATCGAATGTAGTTAGTACTGAGGATGGGCTGAGATGTAACAGCTTTTGAAAGAGGACAAGGATTAGAAACAATATGGATATAGCTACGTGTGTAGTTAAGAATATTTGATAAAACAGAGAATCTAAGTATGGGAGCCATCATCCTTAGCTCAAGACTGCTTGATCCGTTTCATCTGTCTTAAACTTGGTAAATACCCCTCTTTCAAAGTCCTGACTTCCGCGAAAATATTGTAACCATACAAGGTAATTACTCACTGTCAAAACATAAAAATATAATCTTTAACCATGTTAATGGGTGGGGAAAACAGGTACAAATGACAGTAACATGTTTCCCACACTGAAACTAGAATAGAGCCAGTTGAAAAAGAGCTTTTTTAATTCATTTACCCAAACCTGGCCGCTGCATAGTTTAGTGACAACAGTTCAATCATTAACCGTGTTAT